CTCTTTAAATGTAGTTGATGTCATGCCAATATAATTCATGATCGTGTTAGGGTTGCTTGTTGTGACTGTTGCTTTGTATACTATGTCCTTAGTCATGCATTGTTTCTGAAGTGGGCATATTGTGTTTTTCGAACAACTGCAATTGACAGTGCCCTTGCCCTGTGCCTTGTTCTTCCTAGCTATATGTGCATTGTGCTTAGTGATTATAGACTTAACATTACTCATGCAGCTATAGCTTACTTTACCGTATTTCTGTTAAAGATCTTATGCAGCTTGTGGTGCGAAGGAAAGTGCTTGTCGATAAGGTTAAGAAAATTTCGCCCTATGTTAGTGCTGACATTCATGCTAAATGGTGGGTTGAACCAAATGATATTACGTTGCCTATTTCTGCGTGCTTGCTGTGGTGCGTGTTAAGTGTAGTTAAGATCATGATTAAAGTTGCTATGGTCAAGTGCGTTTTGGTATGCATATTCAACGTAATATCATTTGGTTCAACCCACCATTTAGCATGAATGTCAGCACTAACATAGGGCGAAATTTTCTTAACCTTATCGACAAGCACTTTCCTTCGCACCACAAGCTGCATAAGATCTTTAACAGAAATACGGTAAAAGTAAGCTAAAAAGAAGTGACCAGTGACCTAAAAAGAAGAAAGACCAGTGACCTAAAAAGAAGATCTAATTCGTCTTGACTATATCCTTCATTCCTCAGTTTTCGAATTACAAACAAGCATTTATTTGCTTTCACCAACTTTTTCTTAACACATTTCTCAAATCTGCTTGTCATTTCAAAGGTTAGCCCCAGTATTTCAAGACTAGAGTGCCGTTCAAAACCATAAATTGGTGATACACAATCCTCTGATCGTCCTTTCTTTAATATAATCATTTCTTTACATTTACCCTCATTTAAAGGTAAAGAGTTTGATTCGGACCAGTCCTTAAATTCATCTATGGCTTTAGAACTACAATCTTGGGTATTCTTCAAAATCGGTACCAAAAGTGAGGAATCATCCGCGAATTTAACAAGGGGGGTGTTGGAACAGTTTTTAATCTCCAAATCATTAATAAATAAATTAAAGAAATGTGGTCCGGTTACAGTTCCTTGCATAACTCCCTTGTTAACATCTTTCCACTTGCATGTCGTTCCTTGGAAAACTATTCTCTGTCTTCGATCTTTTAAGAAATTTAAGTACCAATTTACTAAATAAGGGTTCATAGAACTCGATTTCAATTTTTCACTCAGTTTTGCGTGTTTTACATTGTCAAATGCTTTGGAAAAGTCCATTGCAATTAATCTCACTGCATCACAATTTGGTTCTTCTAGTTCTTTCAGGTACATATACTGTAATTTAATTAAGGCGTCTGTGCTACACCCACCGATTCGATAAGCAAACTGGGAAGATGATAACTCAGACTCGAAAGATCTTTTACTATGATAATGATAAACCGTTATTTCGAAGCATCGTCCAATCACAGGTGTGACGTTTATACCTCTAAATTCACAATATTCCTTTGGATTCTCGACTTTTGGTAAAGGATCTATATGAGCAATTTTCCAAGAGGTAGGCCATGTGGATGTAGAGAGAGATTCATTCCAAATCTTGGTCATAACAGGTGCAAATACATCAGCGTTTTCTTTCCATACCCAAAATGGAATTTCATCAGGGCCTGTTGCGGTTTTCCTTATTTTCAACAAAGCGTTCTTAACCTGGGTTATGCTAAACTGAGGAGCTTTTATTGTGGTTGAATCTATCTCCATCAACGTTGGCTGTTCATAGTCTCTATCCCAACATAACTCTCCAAAGTAATCGTTCAAGTTTTCTTTGAACTCGTTGTCAAGTATAATATGTGCTCGATTTCTTCTATGTGACAAAAAGTCAACGTTTTTCCACCATTGACTTGTGCCAGTACACTCGGACTTTGCCATTTTTGTTCGATTATGTGAAATTATTCCAGATATTCGTTCTGTTAATTCTGCCGCAATAGATAACTTTCTCCTTGACTTCGCCTTTTATCTTTTTCTTATTAAATATTTTAAGAGTGGAGACATCCATGGAGGGTCACGAGTGGAAAGAGTAACTGTTTTCTTTGGAAAACATTGATCTATCATATTATGGATAGTGTCCTCCAATACTTTAGTTGCTTCTTCAACTGTTTCCAATGACGTAACTTCAGACCAACTTTTCTCGGCAAGCTTCTTTTGAAATTTGACTTTATTCTGTGCTCTGTGGTCCCTACACCCACCAACCCATTTAACCATTAAGTCGCATTGTGCCCTGATGTGCCCTACTTTATTATTTTATTTTGTCTAACAGCATTACGGCAGATGATTTTACTTCTAAAGGGGAGAGTGTTGGTACTTAATGGCTTAACTGGCCATGGGTCCGGTTAACCCATTGAGTTGCACCCTACTTTATTATTTTACTCTAACACCATATAATTTTACTTGTCAAGGGGAGAGTGCTTACTGCTGAGTTAGTAAGGGAAAGCAATTAATAAAAGGCCAATCCAAGAAATAGCTGAAAGAATATGCTGTCCCATCTATTTTTGATTTATATCAATGATGAATCAATAGGTTTCTTGGAGAGAACTAGATATACTGTGAAGGTTTTTGATGACAAATTAGCCAGTTTCTTCAAAATAGTTTCCATTGAAAACTTTTGCTGTCACTAGTTCTCTTTAAAATCCTGTTTGATTCATCACATTTCACTCTCCAGGCCATATAGACTAGAGATCCCTTGACATCTGCAGCAGCAAGGTCATCAAAGTCACACTAAAACACTTGTAAACAAAGCATCATAGTTTTCGCACCAGCATGCAGACCAGGTAAATCAAGCAAAATAGGTTTTAAACTTCAAAATACTTCACAATATTATTCCCTGTTATATATCCCAACCGAGATCCTCGAGAAAAAAAGCACCCAAAGAACCAAAACCTTTAATTTCTGCAATAAAATGTCTCGAACTGCTCAACCGACCATGTGATGATTTTCAGAAAACATTTAGCGATCGATTATTTCGTCTTTAATTGAACTTAAATTGTACAAATATTCATCCAAAACCTTCACACCAGCTAGTAGTTCCCCAAAAAAGGTGGTTCAACGGGATCGGAAACAGTAGGCAGGCGTAAAATGCGAAAAACATGGTTTTTCCCTATCTCGCTCTATGATTTTTGACCGGTTGAGCCGCCATTTTGAATGCTCATGTTGGCGCGTCGCGTGCGCAATAGAAACATTACAGTCAGCAATCTAGGTCTCCTATATCTATGTTTGGCACCCCATGACAGTGCTGTTGCGATTTCATTTAGGACTGGTACAAGAATTGGAGCACCTTTCTTAGCTATATTGGCTAGTGCTTTTTCTACTTTACTTGTTGCCTTTGCTGTTCCTACAATTGCTCCCCTAGCATGGATCAGTAAGGCTGTGATTAGACCGGCTGTTGATACGGCTACACCTGTAAGTCCCACCTTTTCCTCCCCTAACCATTTCACAAATTTGCGGAATCTGGAAATGTCTTCAACTTGGGCTTGTCTACCTTCCTCTAACTTTTTCTGTATAACTGTCCTGTCCCTTGCTTCCCTAAGAGCTACTATTCTTTCTTCCAAATTGATGAACTCCTCTGTGTCATCCGTTTCATCTCTCAACTCCATCGTTTTATTGATCATGTCCTGAAAGTATTCTAATTGTCTCTGAAGTGCACCGTCGTTACCCACTCTTGATTCCAGGTCCATTGTGTCTGTGGGGTCAAGCACTCCTCGGAGCTCTCTATTTTCCGTAGGAGTAAGACCTTAGATGTCGTCTCTGGTTACCCTCACATCTATGAGTTCAATGTCTTCAAATGTGTTGTCCTCATCACTGGGGCTGTTCAAAGCAGCACCTCGGTTTGTGACTGGGGTTACACTCTCATCATCTCCTTCATGGGTGCTAGTTGATGGTTCCTCCTTAATCTTCCTCACTAGTTCCTTATACTCTCGCAGTGCTGGGGAATTCTTGGAGTATGTTGGAATGTTGGTTTTCCCACGTTTCATTATCTGGGTACCGCTCTTGTTAATACCTTGTTCACTTCTGAACATTAACACCTCTGTGCCATCATTGAGTGTCCTGACAGATGATCGCTTAATGATCTCCCTAACGTTTCTATTCCTAGGATTGAGTACCATTTTCTCCTTTGTTTGAACAACCCTTGTGACTGCTTGTACACGTTCCACTTGGTTTTCGAAGTCTCTTTTCTTCTCTACTGTTGACAAATTTTTCAGTTTACTCAAGCGGTCCTCTATGTCTTCCCAATTAGCATCAAATGATTCGTCGAATGCATCTAGCACATCTGGAAGTAAATTGTTCGGGTTCTCCACGAAGTCGACTCCTGGAACGGTTGTGCTTCCTGATGGTCCTGAAATGTTTACGGTTCTTTCTGCTCCTTCAGTGAAAGTTGTCTGTGCTGTACCACGTTCCTCCACGAGCTTCTTCACATAGCTGAGTTCAGTGTTAAGGTCAGAGGCTACCAATGGATCTGAACCATACTTTACCTCACTTTGTAACCTATTTGTTAGTTCATCAAAGTTTGACAGAAGGTCGTGGTAGTTCATGTTGTCATACTGAGTATAACTTTTCTGTTCCTCCTCCAACTTGTAGTCCTCTGCGTCCTCCATAATACTGTAACTTATGTTAGGGACTTGATGCTTCCAGCTGGTATCCAACTGTTAAAATTTGTCATCATAACCTAACCACTTAACGAAAGACATCTTCTTACCTTTCACTGTTCTTCTTCTTAGTACTTTCTCTATTCTGAAATCAGGTTCTCTTCCTTCAGCGCTATACAGTTCTTGTTCATAAAACCTGCCAATTATTGGTTCATCAGCACTGTCTTTTATTGTGTACGTGTTTGGGTGTTTGTGATACACTTCCATCACAGTGAATACCTCCTCTGCGAAATTTGCTTCATCCCCCTTTGTGAACACTGATTTGTACTTTGAGATCCTGACACTTTCTCCGACAACAAACTTTGGTCCTGGTGGTTCACCTAGATCGTGACTAAAAAGTGTCTTCCATACTTCAGTCCAGTTGGACTCATTGACACTGTCCGGTGTTGTTTTAATTGATCTGTTCACTGAACTGTTGTAATTATCGGTTAAGTCTTGAAGAACGTCTAACCATTTATATGTTCTGGCACTGTAGAAGTACTCCACATTAGTGCTTTAAGTGTTCTGTTGAATCTTTTCACAACTGCGGCCTTTTTGTCTGAGTAAGTGGAGAAAAACTCAATGTTATGTTTATTGAGCAATTACTTTACTTCTTTGTTGTAAAACTCTGTGCCTTGATCAAACTGAATGAATTTTGGGTACTTCCCAAAATGATTCTTAAATTGCTCTAAACAGTTACTGACAGCGTCCTTCATTGTCGTCACGTTTTTCCTGTACACTGGTACTGTGAATGCATACCTACTTCGTATTTCGATGGATGTTAGAATCCATCGGTATCCCTTGTTCTTGTCGTTGTACTTTGTCATGTCAACTAAATCCATTTGTAACTGCTCACCTAAAGTTTGGACAAACGTCTGTCTGAACTTGTGTCTCTTGAACACTTGTCTCTATCTAGTGTATGTATCCTGCTCGTTTATCCATTTTTTACCTGATTTCTGGTTACTCCAAGTCCGTCCGATATTACTCTAAGATATAGTTTCTCTGGTGTTTGGAATCCAGTCTTAAATAAATGAATTTATGATGTATCTGCATATTCTCTAATTATATGTATCTCCCTTGTTCATGTTCAAATAAAATTGCTCTTGACATACATTGGTTAATATAGTAAATCTAGGTTTTTCATGTAAGAGCCTACAATGTCAGGGGCCCACAACAAGTTCTCGTTGTCTCATCCCTGGCAGGGGAGTGCCTGCTTTCACTCTGTCTAACATCAGACAATTTTACTCTTCAATGGGAGAGTGCAGACAATGGGTTAATCTAAAGCTCAGGGATTGATTTACTAGGGGGTGCCCCCCCCCCTAGCCCTGGCTAGAGGGGTACAGAGGAGGTGCTATTTTTCATGGTAAGCAAAAATTATTAGAGACAAAATGAGATACAGTAATTTGAGTAATAACATGATGATAAGCGAACTGAGAACAACAATTACAATTCAAATACAATAGTCAAGCAAGACTTTGCAGTAGTGAAGCAAGTTGATGGGCAGGCGGCACACATGACCGACACAACTCAGCACTAGAGCTGGCAGAGCACACCCCCCCCCTACCAGATCATGCCGGATCCATCCCTGCTAAAGCTTACTAAATGTATTCATTGTTGTAAACTTACAGTTAATATATAGTTCAATAATTGGAATTGGGACAGGGTAATGTAACAATAGCAAAACACTAGCTATCACTGGGAAGTTTCCTCGGTGACTGTTTGTATGGTTACAACTTACATGGAAATTTGCCTTGCAAAATTGATGGATTTTACCCATGTAAATATTTTGACTGTGAACTTTGGCAAGCAAGATGAATGTCACATATACCGTCACTTGCAAAACTATTAGATTCCTATTAAATTCCAGTTGTCTTTTCTGTTCCTTTATGTCTATTCCCTTTTATATGTCTAGGTATTACTCACACCCAAATATATATAACAGGCCCATTATTATCTAAGACACTCGTTTGAAAACTTTGTCTTTGTCCAAGGGATAAATTGCACAGTGTATTCCACAATATAAAAAACCTCTTTGTTTTAAAGACTTTTATTAATGATTTTCCTTCCATACAAGCGTATTAAAACAAGGCAAGAGGTATATATTTAACTGATACCGAAGGCACAGCCACAGATGTCAACTGTTGAATTTACATTTTATATATGGACAATTTTCGCTCGTTCCTTTTCGTGTTATAATTTCGAACGAATCACTGCAATTTCAGCTTTAATATTATCGTCAACAATTTGAGTAGAAATTTGTATATATCAACGATAAACGTTCAATTGACACCCTGTCTTGACATGAATCGACGACAACGTGAATTCGCTACTCTGGAAAGTCACTCGTTGAGTCGTCTCTAAACAATCCCAGTAAATCGCTGCTTCGGCTCACGCTAACGTTCTCAGCTCCTCAGTCAAAGTTCCCTGTGTATTTACAATGTTAAAGAGCAGTATTATTCGTTAACTTTACAGGTATTCGTCTTAGTTTTATAAGCCATCGTGTTGAAAACAAAAATTTCTCCACTCCTTGCTGTAAACCCTTCCTACTCCCCCTAAGTTTGAGTTTGTCGAAATTTGCATGCGCGAGCTGGTATGCGCAGTGCAAATTTTTTTGTCGATTTATGGCAGGCATCTCACCAAACTTTTTCCCACCACCCGATTCGTCGGGTGAGATGCCTGCGGAGGAGGCTATGGCTAACCCAACAACTGATGAATCTGCTGTCTCCAAGAAGTGGGTCACTGATCATGTAAGTGGAAGTACAATCAATACGGGAGGCTTTTCGATGACAGGTAATATTGACATGGGTGGTCACACTATTGAGAAGCTAAGAGTGTCCTCTTGTAATTACTCCAACAGGGAATCTGTACCTAACACAGGGTGGGTCACGGATAAGTTCATGAGTAAGATGGGCGGTCTGGTGGAAGGTGATCTTGACATGGGAGATTCAAGTGGAATTGTTGATTTAAGGGACCCCGTGAATGGTAAGGATGCTGTGAACAAGCAGTGGGTGGAGAGTAACTTTGCTCCTTCTATTCCGTCTGAGAAGTACGTTGAGAGCAGGCATCATAAGGTGGTAATAATAATAGTTTTAGTGATCCATCTTTAGTGTAAAAATACAATGGATTTACAGTTAGTAAAATCTACGTAGTAGTCTAGGAGTTATATGTACAGAGAAAAATTTTAGGAGTAGTTTTTTTTAGAGTAGTAAATTTTAGAGTAGTAATGGTTCGTAGATTTGCTCGACGACCTTCCCGTAGGTAAAATAGGCGTTTGTTTGCTTTCTTTGTAATTTCTTCAATATGGTTGTTCCATTTAAGGGTATCATTAATCCAAAGACCTAACAGCTTGAACGTGTTTACTCTTTCAATCGTATTATCGCCAATCTTAAGTGATGGTGGTTCCGGAATTGCGGCTTTAAAGCAGATCCACATGTCTTTCGTCTTTTTCGCGTTAAGTTTCATCTTGTTTCTGAGTGCCCAGTCGTTTATTGTATCAAGCACCTCTTGCATGTTGCTAGTAGAACCATATGGAATCACTTCATCTTGAGTGCAGTCATCTGCGTATTTGTGCGTGTTGATGTCCAGATAACTGGGAATGCAGTCTTCGAGGTCATCCACATGAACATTAAACAATGTTGGTGAAATAACAGATCCCTGGGGGACTCCGGTAAGGCAAGGCCTTATAGATGACAGAGCACCTCGTAATTTTACTTGCTGACTCCTCCCTTCTAGAAAGCTCCTTGTCCATAGCCAGAAGCTTTTCGACACGTTCATTTTGGCGAGCTTCCTTAAAAGCAATCCGTGGTCCACCAGATCAAATGCTTTGCAAAAGTCGATAAATAGGGCGTGGACACCCATTCTTCCATCACGTGAGTTTTCAGTCTTGTTGAACCAATTTTGTGTGATGCTCGCCAGTGCAGATACAGTTGATCTACCGTGTGTAAATGCATGTTGATTATCTGTAAATGCATGTTGACTTTAGCCAATTGCGGTAATACTGAGATTTGGCGGAAGTCATTGTCCATGTCATTAGGAGGGTATATTTTAGGCACTGGGGTGACCAATGCGTGTTTATATAGGGTTGGGCATTTAGCCTGGGAGATGCTGGAGCATATGATGTTATGAATAACAGGGGCAAGTTCTTCATTGTAACGTTTCAGTAACCATGAAGGGATCTCATCTGAGCCAGTGGCCTTCCTGGGATTTAGATGTTTAAGGGTAGCCTTAATTTGTCCGATGGAAGGAAACGGGGGACTGGTATCATTCTGAAGTAGGTGTTCAATTTCCCCAACGTCCGGAATTTCAGTGGGGTTGGCATTCTGCCAAGGTTTGGTGAAGCTTTGTTGCAGGCGTTCCGCTAAGTCTGCTGCATCATTAGCTGGTGGTTGAGAGTTACAGTCATTAGCGGCAGCAAGTTCAAATATGGTTTTGTACCACTATGCCGGATTCGTTTCGCGTGTACCCTCTGCTTTTAGTTGATAGTAATTCTTTTTCGCATTTGATACAAGTGAGGTAACTTTGTCACATAATAGTTTGTACCTTGCTATATCTCCAGATGTAAACGCCTTTTGCCTAGCTTTTATTTCATGCTTTATACGCGGTGTCATCCACGGCTTGTCGGAGGGGTGGGCACGTACAGTGCGTTTAGGCAGCGATTTATCAAGCCTGCGCACGATAGTACAAGTGAACGCACTTACTTTGTCGTCAACCTCTCTGGCATCGTAGACTGTTTCCCAGTTCTCTCTATTCATATGTATGCCCAGTTCGATTAGGTTACTACATTTCGTCAGACGCACTCTTCTGGAGACCGGTTTAACCTTTTGTTTCAACTTTGGGGTGAGCAGTAAGCACTGGTGGTCGGAACGGCCGATCGGTGGCAGATGTTGAACATCATTGTATAGCTCTGGCATATTGGTAAGGATTTGGTCTAGAATATTTCTACCTCTTATAGGAGCCCGTACGGGTTTTTTAAGGTTGAAACGTCTACATAGTGGGTTCAGTCTCATTTTGTTGAAATCTCCGGCGATAATTACGCCAGCTGAAGGGTGGTCCTGCAAAATGTTGTCAAGTGCGTTAGTAAAATACTCGTACATTGCTCTTTCATCTTCAATTGTCTGTCCAAGTGGGTAGTACACACCAATAACTATTATCGCATTATAGGGCCTGGGAGTTCTGGGCGGTTTAAGTAAGAGCCATAGGACTTCTTTCCCATCATATAATTATCAATTTAACATGTTCAGGGGTATGGTGGTAATCAAGTACGGATGTCATCAGATTATGATGAACTTCACCAAAAGCATTCTTGAGGTCAAGTAGGGTGATGACTAGTGAGCGTTGTTTGATTCGGGCTTTATTGATTATATTGGCCATTTGTGCAGTATGTTCTAAGGTGCCATGCAGACATGTTAGGTGTGAATCCTTTTTGAATATTATGTTCTATAAAGTTATCAACGGTTAGGAATGAATACATAGCGTTACGTAGGCAGGAAGTGAATACTTTTAATGGTATGGTCTCCAGTGTGATGGGTCCGAAATTGGACGGGGGTATTAGTATCGCCTTTTTTATGAATTAGTATTGTGCAAGCTTTCTTCCATTCTGAAGGGATGGTTCCAGATAGCCACACAGCACGAATGAGGTCAGTTAAATATGTTCTTAGGAAAGGACAGCGTTTAAAACATATAATAGATAGCTGATCAAGGGGACATGGAGAGCCAGATGCCTTCGTTCTGCGTATTATATTCGTGACTTATTGATACGATGGAGGGTCAAGGTCAAATTGAATTTCAGGGTCAGACAACGCAGGAATCCAGCTAGAAATATTGAACAATTTGTTTGGATGAATTGCAGCAAGGATCTTAGTGAAGTGGGAAAGGCATTGCGTCATATTGAAAGATGGTAATACAGTGTCTTTCTTCCTTAGAATATTCTTGACATAACCCCCAGAAATTTTTCCCAATATATTTGTCATGGTTAAGTGACTGGCTGCTGTCTAGACATGACTCGTTATTGTTTGAGCGAAGCTTATCACGCAATATATGCGACACATATTTAATTTCGTCTAGTTCACCATTCGTTGATTTTAGGGTTTTCAGAGCTTTTTTCAAATCCTTGATTTCATAGTCCTTATATTTATTTAGTAGAGAATTGTCCGGCACTGATTCGCTATAACCAAAGTTTTGGGCGAAGTAATCGTATATGTTATTATTTAATAGTTTTATGTTGGAATTTAAATCTTGTGATGTGATTGGATCATTGGATTGAAGAGCGAATTTTAAATGCTCGTTGGCCGTTGACCATTCGGAATTGCTTTTAGGGAGTTTAATACCTTTTCTTAAATTCGCAATATCTTCCTTTTCAACCGTAGGAGTTTCGTTGATTGTCGATTGGTCCATTTCAGGAATATGTTCCGTGTCAGAATTGTTTTGTTCCTCTAGGTCTGTACGGAATTCACTGTCTAGACCTTGAATAACTCTACAACTGCGTTGATGCATCTTTAATCCTCGCGCTCCTTTACATACTGATACTTTACCACAGCAACACTTGATTACGGTTCGACTTGACACGACGACATTAGGAGAATTCATGACGGGCGTTTGCCTTGCCGTATTTTCGGCAGAGTGATCTTGTTCTGCGTAATTAACTCGCTGTTTACATCGCCATGAATGTCGACCGAGTGTAACGAAATCTTTCTCACAGAACGAACAAACGACGCAGGTCAATAACATTAATATAAAACTTGAACGAATCATGATTACAATATTTACTGATGGTTATTTGTGAAATAATTTGTGATTCAAGTAATAAAATTTTGATAAACTGCAGACACGTACAGAGCACGTCAATGCTCTGCTCAATGCCTATAATCATAATAATAATAATAATAATAATAATAATAATAATAATAATAATAATAATAATAATTATATATATATATATATATATATATATATATATATATATATATATATATATATATATATATATATATATATATATATATATATATATATATATATATATATATATATATATATATATATATATATATATATATATATATATATATATATATATATATATATATATATATATATATGATAATGTTGTGGTTTTTACTTAACCGCGGTTTCGAACCCGCGACCTTCGCATTTCTAAAACGATGCTCTACCGTCATAAGTCGGTCATCTTAGCCAAAAGCAACATGACAACATGACTCGTGATGAACAAAAACGAACGATGGCAAATGTATGGTTTACAAGCGATCGAACGAGTGAATGCAAAGCGTATGGTTTGGTGTGAATTCGCTGAGGCAATGAGGGTACTTAAACTGAGGGTTGAAAGAGATGTACTCGAACATTTACAGCAACTGGAAAAAGACCCAGATTCATTGATTGAACTACAGTACATAAGAACACTGAGAAGTGAGAAACAAGAACTACAATGTATACTGAACTATTTCAGTGTTTCATTGGAGATTAGAAGATCCGCTCGAGTCAGCAGCTGAAGCGTTTTTCTCTTACCCACCGAGTTACATGTATTCTGTGAAGGCTATCTGCTGGGTCGATCCAATTGTGAAAAAAGTTGCGCTTGAGTTTTGGTCGTTCCTCTTCTGTTTGGTCGTTCCTCTTAATTTGGAAGTGGAAGTGGAAGCACCGCGAGATGGCGGGTGTTTATTTTGAGCTCTTAAAAAATTTCAAATTTAACCAAAATTTATATTGTTTAATAGCAGTTTTGTTCAATATGAGTTTCTATTTCGTAAAGAACCAGTCAACCTTAAAGTTAAGTTTGATTGTTTAAAAATCGTGTATTTGGCCATATTTTGTCTTGGACAATATAATTGTGACTGATCGATCGTCGTAAGGCGCCAAATAACATAGTCTTTGTATTCAGTATGGCGGACGGACATGACGCTCTGTGTATAGATGGAGAAGATATTAGTGAACTTAAAGTGACTGAATTAAAGAAAGCTTTATTAAAGGAAAGAGGTTTGAAGATCTCGGGAAACAAGCCCGTTTTTAAGGAAAGGCTCATAAAATACATAGCAGTTTATGGCACCGAAAGGAATAAGACGGTCGATCCTTCTTCGGAGAGCTGTAGTAACGAAATCTCGCCTGACCTACCTGTTTTCAAACAGCTACCCTCGGGTTTTCCGAATAAAGAAGTCTACAATATCAAAGGTCCGGAGTTTTGTAATTTCGTTCTGTCATCATATGAAGAAGCAATGAAATGGCGAAAGAACCTCTTTACAGTTCCCTCTGGAAAAGCAAGGAAAGATTTTATAAATTTATTGGGCGAGTGGTTGATAAGATTTAATAATGAGGATGCCTTCATGGGGTTTCATTAAAGGTATATTTGATATTGCGGAATCTTTTCCTGCAGAAACCCTTGTCTTCTTCAAAGGCGAAAGAACATTCCCGAGCATTAAATCGCAGAATTGAATGGTTAAGAAATGGAGAGCTACAACAGATTCTCACTGCATGTAGAAATATTCAAGCTAACTTGCTCCAAACGAAACGTAGCCCGAACTTGTCAAAAACGTTTGCAAATTTGGTTATGCAAGGGAAAATTAATACAACCTTACGTCTCCTTGAAGAAAACTCTAGTGTTGGTGTTTTGCCTCTATCAGATGAAGTTATGAAAAATCTTGGTAAAAAGCACCCCCTACCAAGCGAAATCAAATCCGATAGCTTACTACATGGGCCCATTACTGATCTCAGAGACGTTGCTGTGGACATTAATGAGCAAGATGTTTTGTTTTTTGCAAGATTGATGAGAGGTTCTGCTGGTCCTTCCGGATTAGATGCTAACCAGTATGTCCGCATCCTATGTTCGAAGCAATTTTATTGCGAAGGAAAATCCTTACGTGAACAGATTGCCATGTTTGCAAAGAAAATTGCAAGCCTAGATCCTTCCTGTCTTGAAGCCTATACTGCTTGTAGACTCATTCCGCTAGACAAATCCCCTGGAGTACGACTGGTTGGGATTGGGGAGTGTTTGCGGCGCCTAGTTGGAAAGATTTTAACCAGGACCTTTAAACAAGATTTTAAGACTGCAGCTGGTCCTAACCAAATGTACGTCGGTCATGAAGCTGGTGCTGAAGCAGCAATTCATGCGATATCGATGCAACAAATATGCATGGGAGGAAGAAAGCTCTGAAGGTGTTCTACTTGTAGACGCCAGTAATGCGTTTAACTCCCTGAATCGTAACGTCGCTCTTCATAATATCCAGATTGTATGCCCTAGACGTTTATTTGTGATCGGAGGAGGGAAATTGTTGTCTAGAGAAGGCACTGCACAGGGTGATCCACTGGATATGCCTTTCTAAGCGGTCTCTATTTGTATCTTGATCTTTTATCTTCACAAGAATTTCGATGGTGTGAAACAAGTCTGGTTAGCGGATGATTGTAGCGCCGCTGGTCCTTTGGACTCCTTTTTTGCATTCTTCAACCAAACCATAGTCGAAGGTGAGAAATTTGGTTATTATGTGAATTCTACGAAATCGTGGCTGGTCGTTAAAAAACATTATGATCCGGAGGGAGCGGCTGAATTATTTAAAGACTGTGACATAAAGATAGCTACTGAGGGTCAAAGGCTACTTGGTGCCGTAATTGGTTCCACGACTTTTAAGGAAGAGTATGTTAACAGTAAAGTCGAGACCTGGTGTAATGAATTAAATCGACTCAGTGATATTGCTAAATGCCATCCGCAAGCTGCATATGCTGCATTTGTGCACGGGTACAAGCATAAGTTTACGTACTGTATTAGGACTATACCAGATATTGGCCACTTATTGAAACCAGTAGAAGAAGTAATTGCCAATGTATTTTTACCTACCTTGTTGGGTCAAGAAATTTCACAAATAGATAGACAAATTTGGGCTCTTCCCACACGACTTGGGGGTCTTGGTATTCCTTGCATTCCAAATGAAGCAGAATTCAATCTAAGCTCGTCAAAAGTTATCAGCGCGCAGTTATGCGCCCAACTTGTCAAGCATTGGATCAGTGGGCTTCCATCGGCAGAGGACTTGTCTCATGCTAAGTTAACTGTTCGAAATGACAGAAGAGAAAGATTGCATGCTGCCTCCCTCTCACTCCATCATCAAGTATCCGCAGATCAGTCCAGAACGGTTCTGTTGGCTTGCGATAAAGGTGCTTCTGGATGGCTCAACGCTGTACCTTTGCAGGAAGAAGGATTTGCTTTGAACAAAGAGGAATCTCGAGATACTTTGGCCTTGATATATGATAAATACATCTCCAATCTAGCAAGCAATTGTCCGTGCGGAGTCCCATTTAATACCAACCACGCAATGGATTGTAAAAAGTTTGTTTTATACCTGCACGACACGATAATCTACGAAATCTCGAAGCGGCGTTGTTGTCGGAAGTGTGCAAAGATGTTGCGATAGACATAATATTGTAGAAATAGTTTAATTAGGTTAATCCTGTTATGCCTACGTGGAACAAGAATACCTTTTTATAGTGACAATTTATCTTTAAACTTTTAAATTTTATATAATATTGTAGAACTAATTTTTTACTTTTGAATATTTTAATAATTAAAAAAGAAAAATAAATAAAAAAAGGAAATTAGGTTTAGGAGTAGCATGCAGGCAATGGTGGTGTTATCTCAACAGATTCATTGGGTTGTGGCGTCTCTGCATGCAGGCGCTTGTGGGATACTTTGAGCAGATGTTTCTGGAATTGCAGTTTATCAGAATATAATTTGCTTTTTTTCCACTGCTGTGAGCTGTGGTGCATCCATGATTTCTTTCATTCTCTGTTATGCATCATACATTGCATTTACAAGTGGTGGTTGACGATACGACTGTTTGTGTAAAAACTTTGCAATCTCTCCCGATAGTATGTTGGTCTTAAGTCGATATTCATCACTTCTTGTTGGCTTTAAATCCAGCATCAAATATCCATGAGGTAGGCTCGTAGCATCTTCATCTTCCTCATAAATTATTGCACTCTCCCGGGATTTACATGTCTGGCAAGTATAGAAATTTGCCGTTTATCTCTTGGTGACTTAAACAAGACAATATAGTGTGCGTTAAGGCTGAAATTTCTCATCTCTTTGCCCTGTTGGAATATATTTTGAACAATATAGATGATGGACAATTTCGTTGATGGCTTCCTTTCGTAAAAAGATCAGCTATACGTTTGTTTTTACTAGATTGTGCCATGAGATCATCCAATATGATCAAATTCCGTTGCGATATGTCCAAGTAATCTCCGTTGTCGATGTCGTCGGGAATGCCTTTATTGAACTCGATTCCAGGCATCGTCCCCAACATATCAAATATAATGGTTGCCATTGACCATAACACCAAGTGATACGTTGAGGAGGTGGACTTATAGTTTTCTGTGTATTCTCCAAAAGAGTTTTCACACATACTGTCTTGCCGCTTTGGGTACATCCTGCAACGATGCATGTAAATGGGTGTTGCAAAACTGCAGATCCATAGTCGCCATGCAAATGTTGTCGGTTGGTTTTTGATCATGCACTTCTCGTTTGTGTCGATGTAAATTGAACGGTTTAGAGAAATATTTTCCACAGATATGGCATGAATGAGACATATTTACTCTATGACGAATTGTTGGATAATACATATTTCAAATAAAAACCGAGTTTATATTACACAAAGCCCAGCTAGTACCACGGAACTTTGCTCCTAATAACGAGCCAAGCTAAGGCTCGGGGCCTAGCTCTAAGTATCGAGCCTACCTCGGAGCCGAGCTCGAAGGACTCGGACCCGAGCTTGAAAGGCGCGGAGCCGAGCTCGAAGTGCTCGGAGCCGAGCTCGAATGGCTCAGCGCCGAGCTCGAATGGCTCAGCGCCGCGCTCGAATGGCTCGGAGCCGAGCTCGAACGGCTCGGAGCCGTGCTTCAACGACTCGGTGCCGAGCTCGAATGCTTCGGAGCCGAGCTCTCAATAACTCGCAACCTACTCTAAAAATAATAATAATAATAAAAATCTTTATTTTGGTAATCCTTAGACACAACAGACGTGTGTCTTTACATGATTTTAGTTACAATTTTAAAATATACTATTTACTATATTTACAATATTAATGTAATAATTTAAGATAATTTATACGCATGCAACAAATCTAAAAATAATCGAACAGACACCTATTTACAAAGGAACGCTTAAATCTTTCAGTTCTGACTTGAGGTAAGATGAAAGGATGATCACGTTTCCTTAAATTTTTTGTCTTTTTTCAGGCAGTAGTTCATATAAAATATGTTTTGGATTATCTAAAATCCTATTGAATAGAATTCTGTCTCTCGTTTTAATCAGCTCAGACATTTTATACTCTTTCAGTACATAACCATATCGATACGCTCGCTTAAAAAACCTGTCAATGCGTTCTAAATATTTCTTTTGAAGAGCTGAGCCCCAAATTTCAATACCGTATAAAAACAACGATAGTATTATTGAGTCAAAAAGAATGCTGAGATGTTCCTTCCGATATCCATACCTTCTACATACTCTTAAAATATACATTCGGCTTCAACTTTCAACTTTCAACTTTTATTATTAAAATTAATAAATATATATTTAACAGCCATTTACCCTCCCACATTTAGCAATAGCTATTCGAGGTGGGGGGTTAAGATTTCATACAGTTAAGGAAAAAAAAAAAGAAATCAGGCTCCATGGCAGAACTGAATGCAATGGAAGAATTACCAAAGCCGGCTGTATACGTGTCTACCGTGTGAAAATTAATTTAGCTCATATACAGAAGAAAAGAAACAAGAATTACTCAGTTTTAGATATTGTTTGCATAATCATGGTAAGATCACCATAGTCATCGCAGAAACTTAGAGCATCGAGGAGTAAACTTTTGCATTGTTTGGAAAAACAGGGTTTACTTAATTCTCGAATAGAGGTAGGTAAACTGTTCCAAATTTTTACACCCATTCTGGAAAATGACTTAGCTAAGATATTTAATCTCGAAAATGGTTGATAAAGGTCATGACGAGCCGCAGACCTAGTATTGTACTTATGTGTATCAGCAATGGCAGTGAATAATGTTGTGATATTAACCGGAGATTTATTGTTCATAACGTCATGCATAATACAAGCCACATTATGAAAATAGAGAAAATTTATTGGAAGAATTTCAGATTTAGTAAAAAAAGGTATAGCGTGATCTCTGTAATCGGCAAAGTGCATCAAGCGGACAGCTCTTTTTTGGTGAACAAGCAGACGATTGAGATCAGACTTACAAGCTTGACCCCAAACAGTGATTCCATAACTCAGATAAGGATGCATTAAGCCATAGTAAATCTTTTCTAGAATATATTTTGGAATAAAATGTCGAATTCTGGAAAAAATCCCGATAATCCGACTGGTTTTAAGAGAGATATAATCTATATGAGCTTTCCAAGATAAACTAGAATCAATCATGAGACCAAGATACTTCACAGAGTTTTTCATTTCTAAGGGCAACATTCTCTTGGTTCCATGATCATATAACTTTAGCTGAGGAAAATAATCTATTCTTTTTTGATGCGGATGAAAAATGACAAAATTTGATTTGCTAACATTAAGCGATAGTTTGTTTGCTTCCAGCCAACGGCTAACTTTTTTTAATTCCGAATTTACGGTTTGTTCCAATATATGCATATTTTTGTCAGAATATAAAATACTTGTGTCATCAGCAAACAAATAAAATTTGAATTTTGTCGACGACGAAGAGAGGTCATTGACATATAAAAGGAATAATAAGGGACCTAGAACAGATCCCTGAGGAACTCCATGAGAACAATTTTCATTCTTAGAAATACAATCTCCGATTGCCGTTGTCTGAAAACGATCGCTCAAATAGGAAGCAAACCAATCATGCACAATACCTCTTATACCATAATGATAAAGCTTTTTTAGCAGAATAGAGTGATTAACCGTATCAAACGCCTTTTTTAAATCAATAAATACACCACATGTAACTTCCCCCTTGTCCATATTTTTATGAATTCGATCAACAATATCAATAAGGGCATGCTGAGTAGAAAAATTTTTCCTAAATCCATACTGCCCAGTAAATAATATATTATTCTTATCAATAAAGTCAATTAGTCTAGTGTACATTACTTTTTCGAAAATTCGATTAAATATGGACAACAAGGAAATAGGTCTGTAATTATCAGGATCAGTTGGATCACCTGATTTAAAAATAGGGACTATTTTTGCTATCTTTAATTTAGATAGGAAAATTCCATGTTCAATGGATGTATTAATAATAGATGCTAAAATAGGGCTAATAATACATTTTGATAGCTTGAGCAGAAATATTGGACAGGAGTAAAGACCATATGTCTTGTTCTCAGGTATAATACCAATTTGGTCAACAATTTCATTAGCTGTTACAGCGTTAAAAAAGAAAGAATCTCTAACAGGACATTTTAAATACGACGAAAATAACTCATCCGTCGCTGGAATCGATTTGGCTAGTCTTTCTCCTGTGGTAGCAAAATGAGTATTTAATATATTGCTCATTTCACATTGATCCTTAGTTTTATTAGACGAGTTTGGCTTCTTTATAGAAGTAATATTACATTTGTTCTTCATTTTTTTGTTGAAAATAAGATTATTAATTCCCTTCCAGGTTTGTTTCATATCGTTTAAGTTACTTTCAAAAAAAGACTGGTAGTGTAGGATTTTACTATGCCTTATTAACTGGGAGACCTTATTTCTGTATATTTTGTATCTGACTCGATTTCCCTCACGGAAATATTTATTTTTTAATCTAATAGACTTACGAATCCCTTTTGTTATCCATGGTTTGGAAAATTGTTTAGCTTTACGCTTAGACCAAGGTTTAAACGGCGCATGTTTATTAACAGTTTTGTTAAGTTTGTTATAGAATGAATTAAAAGCAAAGTCAGCATTTGTTTCTTCTAGTTGAAAATGCTCAAAATTTGTTTCGAGATCTGACAAATAACTACCTTTATTAAATTTAGAGTAGTCTCGTATTTTGCGTTTGCGAATATTAGTCTCGATCTTATAGTTATAGAGAAGACAAACTTGTGAAAAATGATCACTTATATCGGATACGATATTACCACTAAGCGAGTTAAACGTAACATTGTTTAGAAATATGTTATCGATAAGAGTCGCTGAATCACCACGAACTCTTGTTGGCTTAGAAATAGTCGGAAAAAACGTCGCACTATATAAATCATTTAAAAATTCTTTACTGTAGGTGCAGGATTCGTATTTAAGCAGATCTATGTTGAAGTCACCCATTAAGCAAACAGTCTTAGACGATTTATTGAAATTGTATAGGGTTTCGCTCAGATAATTTAAAAATTTGGTTGGATCATTATGTTGTCTATAAACGACACCACAGATAACACTCTGGTTATCCCCCACGGCGAGTTCTACCCACAGAGCCTGAAAGTACATATTTGAAGTTTTTTCTAGAATAGAGTAATTAATATTATCTGCAATATATATGCCAACTCCTCCAGCCGAGAGTGGCGTTGGAACGTATTCAAAATTATATCCCGGCAAATCAGGATTAAAAGTTAATGGTTGATTTTCAGTTATTCGCGTTTCAGAAACACCAATCACATTGAAACTAAAGTTCAATTCACTTAACAGGTGGCTCTGGAACGCTTCGATATTTCTTTTGAGGCTCCTTACATTATTATGTAAAAATGAAAGCGTATGTTTGCACGTATCTGCTAAGCTATTATTATAAGTTTGAAAACTATGCGGCGAAAAGTAACGGCAGTCATGCCGAACTAATGAATGCAAGTTTCGATCAGGATTAATATCATTATCAAAGGTGGCACTTAAGTTAAAAATATTTACATCAAATAGACTAGGTAACGAATCTAGGGTATTTTTTGAAGGTAATGCATTCGGTAAACTATTATTAAAACTTCCATGCACTTGAGATATGTTTTGACGGTTATATGGCAATAAAGAAAAATACTTCTTGTTCTCTTTACATTGCTCTTTATAAGCTAGCGCCATTTGACTAAAGGTTCGCGATACAAGTTAAACACACAACAAAATTTAGGGATACTTATCTGTATCCTAATAAGTGTTTGAGGATCCTTCTGAGAGTTTCTTAAGATCATCCAGCTCAACAATCTTGATCGCGCGTGAGCCATCGCGTTGTCTTAGATATACCGAGTTAGATTTTGCCCAACAATAGGAATAATTATGAGCTGACTGGAATTTCTTAGCTTCAAAGAGTAAAGATTGAGCCTTTGGCGTAAGGTGTTCGAAAACTCTGATAACATCGCACTGCTCATCAAGCTCGATGTTGAAACCCAGCTGCGAGGGTTTGATTTTCCTTGCCTCGTTACGGACTTGCATGAGTGCATCCTTTGCTAATCGCCTGGTGAACTTGCACACAATCGGCTTCGGCTTGTTAACATTTGAATTTCTTATAGGTACTCTATGGGCAATGTCTATATCATTTATTGACGTATTGGCCCCCATCTTTGTAAACAACTTTAGGCAAAGGTTTGCTGTGTCTAGGGCTGATTCTCCCCCGGAGATTTCTGGCACGCCAATAACTTTTAGGTTGTACTGATAGCTGTACGCTTCAATATCATCAAGGGCTTTTTCAATTCTCTGAGCATTATTAGTGATTTCGTTTAGCCGATGCGTGAGACGATCAAGTTCCTTCTTTATTGTCGCATTCGATAATAGGAAGTCATCGTATTTGTCGCTAAGAAATTGAATCGAGCGATCTTGTTCAACTTCACGCGTCGGCCGATTTGACTCAGAGGCAATTTTAACACTCAGATTCTTAAATTCCTTCGATAATTGCTCCACTTGGTTCTTCAAATCTTGATTTTCTTTTCGCAGAGCCTTTACTTCAGTCATATTAATATTATAGAAAAAAACTCAGAATTTTGGCAGAGCTCAAAGAACACGTCCACACGTACACACGCTCTGACTATAAGGCATGCCGAAAACAGATGTACTTTATAGCCACAAACCTTGGCTATACGGTATGCTGAAAACAGGTGTGCTTTATAGCCACAAACCTTGGCTATAAGGTATGCTGAAAACAGATGTACTTTATAGCCACAAACCTTGGCTATAAGGTATGCTGAAAACAGACGTACTGTATAGCCACAAACCTTGGCTATAAGGTATGCTGAAAACAGACGTACTGTATAGCCACAAACCTTGGCTATAAGGTATGCTGAAAACAGATGTACTTTATAGCCACAAACCTTGGCTATAAGGTATGCTGAAAACAGATGTACTTTATAGCCACAAACCTTGGCTATAAGGCATGCCGAAAACAGATGTACTTTATAGCCACAAACCTTGGCTATAAGGTATGCCGAAAACAGATGTACTTTATAGCCACAAACCTTGGCTATAAGGCATGCCGAAAACAGATGTACTTTATAGCCACAAACCTTGGCTATAAGGTATGCCGAAAACAGATGTACTTTATAGCCACAAACCTTGGCTATAAGGTATGCTGAAAACAGGTGTACTTTATAGCCACAAACCTTGGCTATAAGGTATGCCGAAAACAAATGTACTTTATAGCCACAAACCTTGGCTATAAGGTATGCTGAAAACAGACGTACTGTATAGCCACAAACCATGGCTATAAGGCATGCCGAAAACAGATGTACTTTATAGCCACAAACCTTGGCTATAAGGTATGCTGAAAACAGACGTACTGTATAGCCACAAACCTTGGCTATAAGGTATGCCGAAAACAGGTGTACTTTATAGCCACAAACCTTGGCTATAAGGCATGCCGAAAACAGATGTACTTTATAGCCACAAACCTTGGCTATAAGATATGCTGAAAACAAGTGTACTTTATAGCCACAAACCTTGGCTATAAGGTATGCTGAAAACAGACGTACTGTATAGCCACAACTTTTCAACTTTTCAACTTTTATTATTAAAATTAATAAGTATATATTTAACAGCCATTTACCCTCCCACATTTAGCAATAGCTATTCGAGGTGGGGGGTTAAGATTTCATACAGTTAAGGAAAAAAAAAAGAAATCAGGCTCCATGGCAGAACTGAATGCCATGGAAGAATTACCAAAGCCGGCTGTATACGTGTCTACCGTGTGAAAATTAATTTAGCTCATATACAGAAGAAAAGAAACAAGAATTAATCAGTTTTAGATATTGTTTGCATAATCATGGTAAGATCACCATAGTCATCGCAGAAACTTAGAGCATCGAGGAGTAAACTTTTGCATTGTTTGGAAAAACAGGGTTTACTTAATTCTCGAATAGAGGTAGGTAAACTGTTCCAAATTTTTACACCCATTCTGGAAAATGACTTAGCTAAGATATTTAATCTCGAAAATGGTTGATAAAGGTCATGACGAGCCGCAGACCTAGTATTGTACTTATGTGTATCAGCAATGGCAGTGAATAATGTTGTGATATTAACCGGAGATTTATTGTTCATAACGTCATGCATAATACAAGCCACATTATGAAAATAGAGAAAATTTATTGGAAGAATTTCAGATTTAGTAAAAAAAGGTATAGCGTGATCTCTGTAATCGGCAAAGTGCATCAAGCGGACAGCTCTTTTTTGGTGAACAAGCAGACGATTGAGATCAGACTTACAAGCTTGACCCCAAACAGTGATTCCATAACTCAGATAAGGATGCATTAAGCCATAGTAAATCTTTTCTAGAATATATTTTGGAATAAAATGTCGAATTCTGGAAAAAATCCCGATAATCCGACTGGTTTTAAGAGAGATATAATCAATATGAGCTTTCCAAGATAAACTAGAATCAATTATGAGACCAAGATACTTCACAGAGTTTTTCATTTCTAAGGGCAACATTCTCTTGGTTCCATGATCATATAACTTTAGCTGAGGAAAATAATCTATTCTTTTTTGATGCGGATGAAATATGACAAAATTTGATTTGCTAACATTAAGCGATAGTTTGTTTGCTTCCAGCCAACGGCTAACTTTTTTTAATTCCGAATTTACGGTTTGTTCCAATATATACATATTTTTGTCAGAATATAAAATACTTGTGTCATCAGCAAACAAATAAAATTTGAATTTTGTCGACGTCGAAGAGAGGTCATTGACATATAAAAGGAATAATAAGGGACCTAGAACAGATCCCTGAGGAACTCCATGAGAACAATTTTCATTCTTAGAAATACAATCTCCGATTGCCGTTGTCTGAAAACGATCGCTCAAATAGGAAGCAAACCAATCATGCACAATACCTCTTATACCATAATGATAAAGCTTTTTTAGCAGAATAGAGTGATTAACCGTATCAAACGCCTTTTTTAAATCAATAAATACACCACATGTAACTTCCCCCTTGTCCATATTTTTATGAATTCGATCAACAATATCAATAAGGGCATGCTGAGTAGAAAAATTTTTCCTAAATCCATACTGCCCAGTAAATAATATATTATTCTTATCAATAAAGTCAATTAGTCTAGTGTACATTACTTTTTCGAAAATTCGATTAAATATGGACAACAAGGAAATAGGTCTGTAATTATCAGGATCAGTTGGATCACCTGATTTAAAAATAGGGACTATTTTTGCTATCTTTAATTTAGATAGGAAAATTCCATGTTCAATGGATGTATTAATAATAGATGCTAAAATAGGGCTAATAATACATTTTGATAGCTTGAGCAGAAATATTGGACAGGAGTAAAGACCATATGTCTTGTTCTCAGGTATAATGCCAATTTGGTCAACAATTTCATTAGCTGTTACAGCGTTAAAAAAGAAAGAATCTCTAACAGGACATTTTAAATACGACGAAAATAACTCATCCGTCGCTGGAATCGATTTGGCTAGTCTTTCTCCTGTGGTAGCAAAATGAGTATTTAATATATTCCTCATTTCACATTGATCCTTAGTTTTATTAGACGAGTTTGGCTTCTTTATAGAAGTAATATTACATTTGTTCTTCATTTTTTTGTTGAAAATAAGATTATTAATTCCCTTCCAGGTTTGTTTCATATCGTTTAAGTTACTTTCAAAAAAAGACTGGTAGTGTAGGATTTTACTATGCCTTATTAACTGGGAGACCTTATTTCTGTATATTTTATATCTGACTCGATTTCCCTCACGGAAATATTTATTTTTTAATCTAATAGACTTACGAATCCCTTTTGTTATCCATGGTTTGGAAAATTGTTTAGCTTTACGCTTAGACCAAGGTTTAAACGGCGCATGTTTATTAACAATTTTGTTAAGTTTGTTATAGAATGAATTAAAAGCAAAGTCAGCATTTGTTTCTTCTAATTGAAAATGCTCAAAATTTGTTTCGAGATCTGACAAATAACTACTTTTATTAAATTTAGAGTAGTCTCGTATTTTGCGTTTGCGAATATTAGTCTCGATCTTATATCACCACGAACTCTTGTTGGCTTAGAAATAGTCGGAAAAAACGTCGCACTATATAAATCATTTAAAAATTCTTTACTGTAGGTGCAGGATTCGTATTTAAGCAGATCTATGTTGAAGTCACCCATTAAGCAAACAGTCTTAGACGATTTATTGAAATTGTATAGCTAAATTTTCAAACTAGACCCTTCTCTAGGGGGTTTTCATGAAGTAAGTTCACCTTTCGGCCTTTGATCCTGCATTGGCAAAAATTTGACCACAACACGTGCGAAGCAACTGGGTCTCAACGACTTAGATAAAACATTGTGAGCCCCTATTTTCCTGACGATATGTTTGATACTTACAAACGCCGAAAAGGTTTTTCTTTTCATTTAGCTATATTTGAAATTGAGACCACCGGCTATTTTGAAGAAAATACAGTTCAAAATCATTTCAGACAAGCTATTTTTACATATTTTCAAAAATTTGTCAAATTTCGCGAGCTTGTATTTTGAACTTAGGCCACTGAAGTTACATTAAGAAACATAGGAAGGAAAATATGAGGCATATAAAATAAATTTCAACTTATATTTCATTCTCACATCACGTTTTTCTTCGTTTATTACGGTTTTAAGCAAGCCATAGCTCGACGTATACGGTATTTGCTCCCATGTTCACGTCGCCATATTCACTTCTTCCAATCACTCGATTACAAAAAAAAATCATCCCAAAACAAAGAATTCATGATCGATATTTAAAAGAATAACCGTTAATTTGTAAATCGTTCGATGGAAAGCAAAAAATCGTCAGCTAAAACAGCTTCTTGCTAACTTTCTGCTTTGTTTTGAATATAAATGCAATGGAGCTCTGTTTCTGCCCGCGATTTTTTGGTCAACGACGACAAATTTCCCACCTGTTAGACCTCTAAGATATCTCCTGCGGCAATTAGTTGGTGCAAATACTCGCATAGTTCGGAAGCAATATAACCAACATGTCTCCATTCAGTTCCATAGTCGAAATCAATTGCACTTGGGTCCATTGGATTCAATGGCTCTGGCCATATTCTTACATTCACTGGTTTATCTTGTCCATGAAGAGCAAGGTATGCCTGTTCCAAATGATGTTGGTAGTTATTCTCATGAGTAGCACCGATGCACTTGAATGGTACAGCTTGGGTGATTTCTTCCTCGTCACTTTCATCCTCATCACTGAACTGGTCGACATTTTCTGCTCTATCACCTTCATTACCATATCCATCCTGACCAGGTTTTACTTGCACGCGCGTGCAACACGCTAAAATTGGCCAATAAATTAGGAGCACCTATAGCCCCATGCACGTGAAAATCACTCCACAGGGATACTTTGACCTTTAGAATCGATTTCCGAGTGATTGGATGTAAACATCGCATTGTTTCGGATATTTGAACTCAACTTCCGGTCAAAGCTCTCGCGTAAAACATAGATATTTTGAAATACCAAAGTAAAAGATGCAAATCTGCAGATACAAGATTGAAAATAACACTCTAAATAGTGTGTTGGATTATGTTTCGAACAAGACTAATACCAAATAATTACGGTGAAAGGGGCTGAAGTTATATTCGGCGAAAAGTATGGCTTAGTGATGCATTGTTTACATTGTTCGAGTATATTGTGATATTGTATATTGTATATAGTATGGTATGGTTTGTTTACATTGTTCGAATATGCAGTGGCGTAGCCAGAACGATAATTGGGGGGGGGCATATTCATATATTCGTGTTCACATACCATAAAAACAATTGATTTCAAAAGAAATTAATAAAGCAGAACACGAATATATGAATATGCCCCCCCAATTATCGTTCTGGCTACGCCACTGCGAATATGGCTAGTAGTTTATAATTTATAGCTATTTTACATTGTTCGATTACATAGTATCTTTGAAGCGGATTTTTTTAAGGTGGTATTTTTCGTATTTCTACTGCAAATACTCGCGGAGTTCGGCAATATTTTATCTTCTCGTCAGATGAGTTTTAAATTAAACAAGACGCCTGCCCAGGCGTTCACACTGACCTGAAAATGACGACATACGTGCTATGGTGCAATACTCAATAGACAGGAATACAAATCGTGAACTGCAAACGCAGAGCTTCAAAGGCTAAAAGCGTGGCGTGATCCTCAGGCGATGTTTTCGTAATGGCCAATGAAACACAAGTATTACTCACAAATACAAACGTTACCATAAATGCACATGGTCTAGCTCTGAGCATGCGATGCGCTAACGCAGACAACATTGTTTACATCCCGTGAGTTCGTATATTAAACGTATCAAATTCGAAAAACTCAGCGATCCCAGATATTACATTTCCAGAGACGTTGCACGAAAAAACCAACTAAATCTAAAATCCACAGAAAAACGCGCTAAAATTCGTTGATAAATGAATAAATTGTTTGAGACTGAAACAGTCACTCATAGGAATGGCCGCCATCTTGAAAACTGATCTGTATAGTAAACTGGAACGACTGGAACACTGGGAACTGAGCCTGCGATGCGCTAACGCAAACTCGATTTCTCGACGACAAAAAAAACAGGAAAAAACAGATATTTAGGGATTTAAGACACTTGACCTTTCAGGTCAGTGTAACAAGACTAACAAAACTTACATAGTTGAGAGGAATTTTCAAGCTGTTATCGTTGTCCACGAGCGCCGTTCCGGGCGTTAGCCCGGGGCGAGGGTACTAATTCCGCCTGGCGATTTACACCCCGGGAAAAGAAAGCATCAGCAAAGTCTAAAGTTTATCAATGATCGTGGGCGTGGGTGACCATCCGTGGGTGGTCATCCTCACTGATCTCAAAAATATGGCTGTTTGCCAGGAGTGGGATAAGCAATATTTTAATTTTCAAAAGCATATATTTGTAAAATCGCGTTTCACACAATGGGCTTTGAAGCAATTTTTATTTGAAGAAATGAGAAGAATTGATTTACTGTGGAACATCGTGAAATATATGGCAAGTTTGCTTTGATTGTTTAATGTTTATGAATTTTGTTGCTTTAGGGGGAGATCCGTACTCAACGTCAATTTCACGTTTGTGGGTGTGTGGGTTATTTTCTTTGACGTTTTTCCTGTGGCAGCTTGACACTTTTGAATATTATAAAGGTACAATATAAAATTCTTTTGCATAATATAAAATTCCATTTGGAATACGTACTTTAAAAACACAAACCTGTACAATATTTTAGCTAGTCAAGAAAAATATACAAAATAAACAAACTGTCTTGCCTTATTTTTGAGTATTCACGCTTGTTTTTTTCATGCCACGAATTGACAATTTTCTAATGAAATAAAACGTCAAATGACGTTTTTCGTGGCAAGTTGAGTATAGATGTTCAATTCATAATTTATTGCTTAAAACATGCACCGCTTTGAAGTGCTTTCCTTTTCAATGAAGCTATATTAAAGTTTGCTTAATTATACCCTGTTTAATTTAAGATAAAAAGGTAAGATATAAAGGAGAGCAAATTAATTTGGAAACCGAACTGAAATTACTAAACAATTTGAACTTATTTTGTTTTATTAAAGACCATGTAAAGTCCGTTCTGCGCATACGTTCTGCGCAGGCTTACATTGGAATGTTATTAATATTTCGTATCTTTTGAACTTTCTTAAATTGAATCTCTAGTCTGTATTCACTTACAAGCATAGCGAACCAGAGGAGTGTTAAAAATTTAGTATAATATATATCTAATCATATTTTACAACTGCAGAACTGAGTTCAAAATGTAAACAAAGCGTTTGTTTACATTACGGACTTTACATGGTTTTTAAGTAAAAACAGTTTATCGGAAAAGCAGTTTAAAGTTATTAAAATGAACAATTCAAAACATTTTACGAAGCGATTCAGGTTAAATTTTACATTAAATCAGAGCTCACAAAATGCGGCAGAACAGATAGATGATATTGATGTGTTGGTTGCTTGATATAATTATTAATTAAAAACTGATGCTGTGCACTTGTGACGTTGTGCGCATGTAACGAAAAAAGTAATTTCAATGTATTTTTATTAATCGCCCTTTGTATATTTCTATTATATATTTGATTATTAAAAATATTTAAATAAGAAGGAAAACAAGTTATTATTATCATGCGAGAATTTGAAATCATTTTATTTCAAACTCGATAAAAGGCAGTTTAGTTAAAACGTTTTCGAAACGCTTGTTAGTTGAATTTTACTTTACACGAAGATTATCTTACAATATATTTGGGAAAATATATTTGGGAAATTAATAATTTTGTAAAGAAAAGTGATAGTTTCTGTGTTTTTTTTTAATTTTAAAAATATGAAGAATAATATCGTGTTACCATGAGAACCACTTCAAATACTTCAGGTTTGGAAAATATAGTGGTTTTGCGAACACCGCGATGGGTTTCTGCAGAGTGTTTGGTGAAAACTTTCCTCACTCTTTCTAAATAACGTTAGTGAATATCTAAAATTTATCAATTTCCTCGGAGCTAGTGCAATGCGTTGCGCCATTTTTTCGTTTCGTATACCGTCATATTCAATACAGCGATTGCAAGTGCTCAGCGTTCTGGACTGAGCAGCAGTATTTCAAGTTGAAACAACATAAAGTATCGCAAAATCCGAAAAATGCATCGATGTTGAAGTATGGTATTAGGATTTTGTTTTCATTTAAATTTTCTTCAATTTTTTCTCCTGGGATGGATTGTGTTAAGATATTTATGAGAACAAAATAGTTGTTTCCTTTAATATAGTTGTTTCCTTTAAAATGGTAGTAAATTTGTGTACTCACACATCACCAGCAGTAGAATACGTTCGTTCTTGTATTGCTTCAATCGATAGCCATCGGAATGGAATTTTTCCGTTAGATTTTTTAATGTATGTTCCCTCGCGTGACAAGCCAAAATCTGATATTTTTAAAACTTTGTCTTCACCAAGTAGTATGTTCCTTGCTGCCAAATCACGGTGAACAATACTAAGTCCTGAAACATGTTTCTAAAATGAAAATATAAACGATATATTATTTCCCGACTCGGATAGTTGACCGACTTGAATGCAGTTATATATAGTTGAGGGGACCAATACGGGACCATGTAGGTACCAATACGGAAGTCTTATTAGTAGTATTAAAATATCTGAAGTGTTATGTAATATTATAATCATGGACCATTACGGACAACAAGCATGATGACATTTGTTACAGTTCAGTATTTTGCGTGTATGAAATCTGGTTTGGAAGATAAAAACATTATAGTAAGATAGAGGTACAAACATAAAATTATATATAATATTGTAAACAATTTACCATTCCAGTAGCAATTTGACGAGCAAACGATTCCAATTCTTTGGGGTCCAAAGCAACTCGAATTTCCTCGTTTATTCTCGAGGCAATCTCGAAATTTAAATCTAAAATATAATACAATTTGACATGGAATTTTACGTGAAGCGCCATTCATTGAATCATTACGTTTAAAATGTTGATAAAAATTAAACATTAAATAGTTACAACGCAGATCTACTGCTAGTTTATCTATTTCTTTATTTTGTAAGAGGATTTTTTTTTGTTTGTTCGCAATTTTTTCTCAAGAACGAATAATGAATAAAATATTTTTCACATGCTATTAAACACAATTTAAAATCGGTATGAAATTAATGCGCGAGATGCAGTATCATACATTATTATAATAGTTGTGTATCCATTTTTTTACAAATTATAAAACCTTGTCACGAGAAGCATAACTAACTGCAAATATTGCTGCTGGGAGAACTTAATATTCTTTTCTGCCTAAAAATGTAAAATCAACAAAATTACCCAGTCAAGTCAGATCCTACAGAATCTTGCTCAAAATGCAGAAGATGCCTTTTTATAAAAATGTCGAATTTTTTTCAAATAGAGAAAGTATTTGTCGAAATTCTTGGAGCAGCATGGCTAAACCAAACAGAGCTTCCTCCGCAAAGACTGGAAAGATATACGTGCATGTATATTTATGCCTTATCTAAATATCCCTTATTATTTTGCAATTGCACTGTCGTAATTACCTTCAGCTTGTTTTATTCCTGTTTCTTCCAACTTGTACGGTTCACTTGCGTTAACAAGAGTTGAAGATGCCGAATCTTTTGCCATTCCACCTGCCCCAATCAATTTCTGATATCGCCCCTGAAATATTTTCAAGTCGGTATATGTAAATTCAATTGTAATCTATGTAAGTGCGAAGAAGTTATTAAAGAGACCTGAATTCTAATATTAAAATACATATGACTATACACATATTTGTTTTCTCATGCAGGTGCACTTAATTGTTAATTCATTTAACAAAACATTGCGTTATTGTAACGAATTTTTCGATTGTTTTAACTATAAATAATATTGGTCAAAATAAAAATTAATGTATAGAATTAGAAGACAAGAATTTTTTTTATTTTAACCAATCAGTTTTTATACAGTATGGCAAGCGCTAAAGCAAAAGACGTTTTGATTTAAGTTTTGGCTTCTCGCATGCAGTTAGAGACTTGTATTGTTATAATAAATTGTTGTGCCATTCAAATGAGTGTCGAGTAAATGCCAGTTATTTCGTATGTGTTCCATTCATGCATATGAATTTGCTACTGCATAATTTTCTCACGTATATTATGAATAATTACATAGTAATGTTTTTTTTAATTAAAAAGCTTTAGCTTGAGTATCAATCTTTCCGAGTGGAAAAGAAACCATGAGACAAAAGTTGGTTTTGAGTCCTGAGCTAAAACCTAAACCGGAATATTTTATAAACTACATAAATTAAAGGAAAATTAGAATTAGTGCATTTTGTTGACAAAATATCATACCATGCCAGATTTTGTGACTTCATCTGTCCGTGCGCTTGCTATGTCTTTACACTTTAATTAAGAAAAATATATGATAGCATAATAAGTATATAAATTTAAACATGCACGTTGTATTTGTTGTTCTTCAAAAAGCCGATTACGCATTGAAGGAACCTTCTTTTTCCCAGGAATAATGAATAAAAGAATGAAGAAATATATACATTTTAGATGTAAGAATACAACTACATCACATCTCTAGTGAGATCAGGTAATCGGGTCACTATAGCTAAAGAACATGGAGAATTTTCAAAAGGTCTCTTACACTACGTGAAACTTCACCTACTTTTCAGATCTTATAAAAAAACACAAACATTTCGGAAAATTAAATTCCCAAGAGCATCGGGAAATTCTTACTAACCAGCTTAAAACTGGTTTACGCACAAAAATGGAAGGTTCCGGGTTGTACCCATTACTGGCACTTTGATAGGTAATTACCTTCTTTTTAAGAGACCTCAGATAATTTTTCAAATTTCCGCCGGGCGCGTATTCCAGGACTAAACATATTGGACGACATCGTATGCAACAACCAAACATCTGAATGACATTTTCATGTTTTCCAAGGTCCTTCATCAACTCAATTTCACGTAAGATATCATTAAGTTCTTCTTCATTGGCGGATTCTATATAACATTTGTTCAATTTATCGAGATTAGTTGATTCCTCAAAAGCCGGTACCTGAATGATAACATATTTTATAAATGCAGACATTGCAAATGTATGTGTACGCACATTTTTGTCATTCACGATTCGGAATATTTAGAAATTACTGTGGTCATATACTGACGAATGTTGACGAAATATTGCCGACATATTGAGGAATGTTTGGAAATTACTCCATTAATATTTAATTCATTTTAATCATGTGGAAATATGATATTTTTTATTAATAGCACTCGATGAAATCACCTGGACTTTCATCTATTGACCAAGAATGGGTATTTGATTAGTGTTTTGAGGTTGATAAATTTATATAGCAACCAGGTATACCAGGAAAACATTTTTGCTCTCTTACATTATTTACCTGAGAGACGTCATTTGCCAACAATGCAAAGTGTAAAATTTCTTTTGTGCATAAGCGCGATAGCTACCATCAACAAAGCATGATGATGAAAATGTATACGCTACGGTTATGGGAACTATAACGATTGCTAGCATATATGAAAATGATCCGTGCGTATTCCCACACGAACAAGTGGCAAACAATTATTTTAGCAATATAATTGCAGTAAAATATATAGTTGTCTGTGGTCTTAACCTGTGATTGTTTTTATTGCCACGGTTGTCCATTCGGGATTTCTATTGACTCCTTGGGCTTCACCAACATATACTATGCCAAATTCTCCTCTACCAATGATACCACTAAATCGTATTGAACCAGCAGGCATCTCAAAAGAACATACTTTTTTCGCTATATGTCCTGGTATATCGTAAACATAATCTTGTGATACATATATCAAATTCACTATTCTTTCGCTGTTGTCATCTTCCAGCGTATCCCGGTCAATGCTAACACAAAAAATACAGAAATTAGACTGTTTGCCGTATTTTAATTATTACACTGAATTAAACATTATATACTTGATTTCGTACCAATAAAATTCGTCATGCATGCTTAAACGCTCGGTTCACATGGAAATAGACTATTCGAAATCGTATATTATATTAACTATTATTATCACTGAGATTTTAGTTGCCATTCGAGTGCGCTATACAGTACGCGTATTTTTGTAGTAATAACAGCCATGCTTATCTCATCCTTATACAGCTGCCTCGTACCCAGGCGTCTCTTTGTAAAAAAACAATGATGCGCATATGGGGAGTTTACATGAAGTATTGTAGTGGAGAGAGATTGGCGAAAGGGTTGATGGGAAGATTGCACCTCAAATGCGCGCGACGCCTGGCAGTTCTTGGTCGATTTCTTGCAACAAAGTGCGATTTCTTGCAAGTTGTGATATTTCGTTGTCGTTTACGATTTTTTGCTACTTGTTTTTGTTGTGTTTGGCGTTTTGTGGAAAATCACCAACTGTTCAACTAAACTCAATCTTCCCTGCAAAAACCGACCCAAGAGAAAATCCGGAAAAAACCCTGGGAGAAGCTCAATTCGCTACAACACATTGCTGTGCTATCAGAACTACTATTTCAGTGAATATATAAGTTATTTTCTTAGAATGAGAGTTTTTTTCTTAAATCGAGAACGTTAGGTGTAAATTTATCTTATTTTTCTTATCTAATCAAAAGTATCTAGTTTTAAGAAAGTTAATCTTAAAATAGGATATATTTTCTTAAAACAAGAAAATGATTCATCTAGAAATATTTTCTTAATTAGAATTTTTTTCTCGCTATTCTCCCTAGTAAAAATTTTATTGTTTTAAGAAATATTTTCTTAAAACGAGTTATATTTTCTCAATTTAAGATTTAATTTCTTATTATTTAAGAAAAGTTTTCTTAATTTAAGAAAAATTTTTTAGCTCTAATAAAATTTCTTATTTTAAGAAAAAGTGCACTAGAAAAATGTTTCATTATTTTCTTGAAATGAGATATATTTTTCTTAAAACAAAAAATGTTTTTTCTTATTTTAAGAAATATTTTAGGAAATATTTTCTCATTTACAAAATATTTCTCGCTATTCTCCCTAGTAAAAAAATTCTTGTTTTAAGAAAATAATTCTTGAAACAAGTTTTTTTGTCCTTGAAATAAGAAAACGATTTTTTTCTGTGTGTTATCTACTCATAATTTTTCGCGCATTTTGCATGTCGTCAAACATCTACAAATTTATTATTATTTGCCAATGGCATTCAATTCAACTCTTCATCAAAACGTAAGGTTTTACGTTTTAGTATATGACGATATGGTAACTTTTTGTATTAAATTCCATGTTTTCCCCATGACAGTATACAAGAACTGCCAGGCGCTCCCTAGCACGCATCCTTCCCAACAGGCCCCTCGCGCGTCGCCTGCCTTCCTGAATACTTCATGTATATTATAATTATTTAAAGCGCCTGGGTACGAGGCAGCTTATACAGTATTTAAAATGAATTACTAGCAAAACAATTTCTTTGCCGATTTCGCTTATCGATCCGAATACAATAAAGTTGACTGAGGTAATAGAACTGAATTGATTTTTGCATATGTTTCAGCCGGATAGACACAATTATCTAGATAATTAAGCACGGCCGCTAAATTCAATCATCTAGCTCTTAGCTCAATCTCTTCCGGCACTTTTGCAAAGACGTGCAATTAGTTTTCAAACCTGCTGTAAAATTGTCATGTTATATTTTCGAAGAATTGTAAATCAAAGCAGCTGAATGTAAATTTCTCAGTAAAAAAAACTAATATATGTTCGAATACTTACAAGCGTTGAGGATTGCTTCTACTTCCGAAGTTAAAAGCTATTGCCATTTCTGTTTCCATGAAATCCATTCGCTTCTTGTGGCGTTTACGTAGCCAAGCAATGATACAAATAGCGATCAAAATTACAAGTGTTGGGATAAGAACAGCAGCAACTATAACTCCTTTGCGATCGTCTGTTACCGAATCATCTCTTGTTTCTGGCAAAGTTTAATAAAAGGCTACTTGCATGTACTGTACAGTCACACATGCATCTTCAAGTGGGAAACAATTTGTCCTTAAGAGATGCATGTGCCGGTTTGATATAGTCATGAATACATTAGTTTTCAAACCACATAATATTACCATTATAGCAACATTTTGAGCGCGGATGTATCACGACAGGTAATTTTCGCTGTCTAATAAGTGCCACTCCCTTAAGAAACGCAAGATATTTTTCCTGGAGGTGCAATTTTTGTAACAATTAATGAACTCGAATATCAACCCTGCATCATTGACAGATTTTGCCGACTAAATTGAGTAAACAGAGAAAATTTATATTTAGTAATCTTTGGATATTTTGATATGTGATCTTACCTGGTAGCACTGGCTCGCAAGTTCCATTTTTCTCAATAAAGTTTTTTTCACATGTACAGTTATATCCTCCTGTTCCTACGATTCGTTCGCACTTCTTATTTTTTCCACATGGGTTTGTTCGACATGGGTCATTGTCTATATAATATTAATAAAGCTACTGACATTTTCCGTTATTTTACCTGGCTGATTACTAATCGTATGTGTGACGTATATAGTCATGCACCGGCGGCTCAGTATTTTTAAGCGAGTGCTTCTTTGTTTTATATATATATATATATATATATATATATATATATATATATATATATATATATATATATATATATATATATATATATATATATGAAGCGTTACATTATAGGGGCGCATATTGGGTGATATAGGCCACTGGCCCCCCAGAAAAATAGTAGCCAGCACGCCACTGAATTAAACTATCGCTATGAGTGAGGACATATTGTTACACTGAATAGAACGTGGTATTTTTGTCTTCATAGCATTCAATGAACCAAAGATATGAAACGTCAAAGCCGTATGTTTGCACTGGTACAATACGTGAAAGAGTTTGACAAATACATTAAGATTGGCGGAACCTAGCGTTCGCGGTGTGCACATAGTTGATATATGGTGGGCGGAACTCAGAATGTGTAGTTTTTGGGCAGGCGGTATTTCAAACTTCCCGTTCTCTCGTGCCCGCGAATACCGCCTGCTACACAGTCTTCCGAGTTGGGTTCTGATATAAAGGGGCCCGCCAAAATCTACTATCTCCCGTTACTACGAATGGTGCTATTTCTGGGACTCTAATCTTTGGTTGAGGTGCGGAGTCTGGTGTTTTGAAAGGGTACCAGTAACGTTGCGACAGGTCACGCACCGTCGAAGTAACTTCTTTACATATTGACGTATGGCGGTTATCCAGTAGCTTTGTCGAAGTGCAGTAACTGTGGCATTGATCCCAGAATTCATTTGTTTACAATGGGTGTCGTGTATGATCAGTTCAGTAAATGTACAGTTATTTGGATGTAAGTATGGAAATCTGGCCAGTTCACTATAAGTGGAGCTTTATGAATTCTCCCGTCGTACCAAGGGCAGGTGAGTAGAGGATGATTATGATGTGAGGTTAGCGATTTCGTTGTTGTAAATGTAGGGTTTGACAATTTTGGCCCACAATGTTGCCTGTTTTTCTGTTGCGCAAATTGGTCTTGCAACTCTTAGCTTGTCTTTACGCATATTCTGTACAAACCGATAGACATAGGCAGTAACAGACCAATAGTTTTGTTAATTAATGAACTGTATCAAGTTGTATCAATATTGAGGTGAATTCCCGTATTCGCGTCGTTTGCAGTGGTTTTGCTGGAAATGGTTGTGGATGGTTCTGTATCATTTTCTTCGCAGAGGGATAGGTTTATGGCGCGTGAGGGATTCCATTCAAATTCTTGTAGTAACCATGTTGGCCCATTCGTCCATAGAGAAGATAACTATAATTGGGATGATGTAATTCCACGGGTGAGCAAATCAGCCGGGTTTTGATTGGTTGGGCAGTGGTTCCAAGTTGATGTGGGAAACATGTTCTTTATTTCGTTAATGCGGTGTAGTATAAACTGTTTTATTGGTTTGCTACTGAACACAACAAGTCGAGAATGTAAATCATTAACCGAAATGACGTCAGAACTCAATCTCAAACAAATAATCGAATCTCCAACCCGTATCACAGGTATTAGTCAATCTTTGATTGACGTGATTTTGGTCAGTTCTCCTAATATCGTACGTGACAGTGGTGTCCTAAACTGCACTATCAGTGATCATCTACCCGTGTATGTTACGCTTAAGCTAAAGTCTACCCACCACCCACCCACATTACAGTTCGCAGCTATAGGAACTACGACTCCGAATTATTTGCCGCTGATCTCGCATCTAAATCTGAACGCCTTCTTTCCATCTTTTCAGTCAATGATATTAACTTTCGATGACGTACTTCAGACCACCCTCGATTCTCATGCCCCATTAAAGACCCTAAAAGTCAGTGGCAGAACGTGCCCTTTTGTGACACCTGAAATAAAAGAATTGATGTGCAAGAGATCAACTACACGGTCTTTTTCTTAAGACACGAAGCTACAGCGATCGGTGCAACTTCAAAGCAGCTCGTAACGCTGTTAAGACCGAACTCATTAAAGCACAAAGAAATCATGTCTACAATGAAGTGATGAAGCATAAAAACAACACGGGTTCCTCATAGAAAATTATCAAAGACACTGTAGCTTACAAAGAAAAAGAGACGGTCGTCTATAGCAAAGACCCAAAGATAGTTGCTGAAGAGTTCAACCACTTTTTTTCTTCTGTTTGGGAAACACAGCCATCGCAGCATCTCAATTATTACAAGACTATCATATTTACCCTGATACTCCATCCACTACAGCATATAATAGAAATTACCCTTTATACGAATCTGAGATGTTTAATTTTGACCCTGTCTCCTGTTCTGAAGTTAAAAACATTATAACGTCCATGCTCACCAACAAGGCTCCAGGCAAAGATAAAGTAAGCATGTGCATTATTAAGGACTGCTTACCATTCATCCTCGGACCATTAACAGATATTATTAATGCTTCAATGACGTCTTCTGAGTTTCCACAATCTTGGAAGGAGGCAGAAGTTATTCCACTAATAAAGGAGGGTGATCATGAACTGCCATCCAGCAATCGTCCCTATCCTTACTTAAAGTTGTGTCAAAAATTTGCGCGAAGGTCGTTTTATGCCAATTTACAACATTTTTGTTCCATAATGAATGCTTGACATCGCATCAAAGCGGTAACAGAAGATATCATTCCTCCGAAACTTTGAACGTTTTGGTTGATGATACCATATTGGAAGCTATGGACCAGAAATCTGTAACTGCACTTATACTATTAGATTTATCGAAGGCATTTGATAGCGTACATCACCCAACATTGCTTAACAAGCTAAGACACATTGGCGCATCTCCTGAGGTAGTGAAGTGGTTCCAAAGCTACTTAACGGGCAGATCACAATTTGCCCGTATTGGAATGTCTGTTTCGTCATCTCTTGACATCACTCACCGGGTTCCACAGGGTGCTATTTTATCTCCACTCTTGTTTAGCATCTATGTAAATGAGTTACCACTGGCCCCACGTCACAGCTCCCTTAAATCGTATGTTGATGATTCAAAGATGTTCTTGTCATTTCGTGTTAAAGACGCGACTGACACAAAAGAGTACCTTCAGGAAGATCTCAGCCGAGTAGAAAATTGCTGCTCTGAACTTCATCTACTTATTACCCCGGAGAAAACCAAGTATTTTCTTATCGGAACACGACAACAGTTACAAAATCTCCCCACAGATATGTGCCTAAATTTTCTAGGTGAAACTATCAGGCCAGTTCCTTCAGCCAAGGATTTAGGATTAATAAAGGACACCAACATGTCATACGATTGCCATATCACCGAATTAGTCTCCTCTTGCATGTCCAAATTGCCACAGATCAACCGAGTAAGCAAATGTTTTGATAAAGAAACTATATCCCTCTTGGTATCAGCATTGGTAATGAATGAACTTCTTTATTGCTCCTCTGCTTGGTCGAACACTTCGGCCAAAAATATTAACAAGCTATAACTGGTACAAAACTTCGCGTGCTGGATCGCAACAAACAGCAAGAAGTTCGATCATATCTTACCAAAACTGCGAGAACTGAATTGGCTTCCAGTAAAGGAGCACTTACTTCTTAGAGATACAGTTTTGATGTACAAGTGTATTAACAATCTAGCCCCACATTACTTGTGCAATAAATTTAGTAAACGATCAAATATACATGAATGTAACACTCGTAACCGAGAGCTCCTCAAAATACCGAGTTATAATACCACCACTGGCCAGAGAACATTTCATTATAGACGGGCGAAACTATGGAATGATCTGGACAATAACACGAAACAAATGCCATCTTTGAGAAGTTTTAAGAATAAATTAAAGAAACACATGTTACATAGACTGTATTCTTAGTAATGAACTATTTTAATAACAGAAAATTTTTCCTAGTAAATATTTAAATATGAAATCCTTAACCTTGTTTTTTAATCACCATTCCATGTAAATTAGTGTTGAAAAGCCTCTTTGAGGAACACAATAAAGTATGTATGTATGTATGTATGTATGTATGTATGTATGTATGTATGTATGTATGTATGTATGTATGTATGTATGTATGTATGTATGTATGTATGTATGTATGTATGTATGTATGTATGTATGTATGTATGTATGTATGTATGTATGTATGTATGTATGTATGTATGTATGTATGTATGTATGTATGTATGTATGTATGTATGTATGTATGTATGTATGTATGTATGTATGTATGTATGTATGTATGTATGTATGTATGTATGTATATCTGGAACTAAGAGTACAAGATAGGAAATTGGCTAATCGTGCTCCGACTACAGCGCCAATAAATCTGATTGAGGAAGAGTTAGTTACTTCAAGGGTACAACCCGAGATTTTGCCATGATGGGCGATGACTGTTTCCCGTTGGTAAGGTAGGCCACAGCTCCATGTGCCTTGGGGCTTGCATCAACAAACACATGGATGTATGCTGTGGGAATTGGTGCAGGAGTTTGGGAGAGGTATCTTCTTTGCATGCAAACGCTGGTTGCTTCTTGTAAATCTTTTGCAATATTTAGCCATTTGGTTTTGAGTTCAAAAGGTAGTGATTCAAAAGGTAGTGGTCGAGGGCGTAGCCCGAGGGACTTTTACTAAACCTGCCGGGGTCATTTAATCACTAATTTCCCTCAAAGCATGCGTTTAGTTTGTAATTACATGATAGCCAAGGGAATCGCGCGAGGTGTGTTGCGTGTTTTGAATGCTGTTTGATTGTCTTATGATTGTGGTACGAACACTTTTCATATATACGCACCCGCAGAAACACATCTCCGTGTTCATTCGTTTTAGGCATGCGCATGAACGGAATTTTCCCCCACGATTGAAGTGTTCAAGATTAGGGAATAAAAGCTGGCAAAGTGATTGTTCGAATGTGTACGGGACGGCGTCGTCAGATACTGTCCATAGTTGTGCCGATGATGTTCGATGAGGTACGCTTTTGTCTTCTAAATATCCCTCATCAAGCATGCAGGGGAAAATTAGAAGACAAAGAAATCCTTTGTTTTCAAATAAATATCCCGTTTCCCGGGGAATTTTAGAAGACAAAAGCTTATGCATGGGTAATGAGGGAAATACGTGATTAAACGTCCCTGTTGAAACACAAGAAACCGAGGCTACCATGTGTTTATCTCAATAAAGTGTTTTTCGCATGTACGATTGCGTCCTCCTGTCGCCTATATATATATATATATATATATATTTATATATATATATATATATATATATATATATATATATATATATATATATAATGTTAATAAATCCATTACATTTTCCGGGTGTTATTTCTGGTTGAGTACTGATCTTACATGTATATAGTCACCGGCGGCCCAGCGATTTCCACTTTAACCGTAATCGTACCGAAACGTACTAATGAGCATGCGTGGATTGAAAATAGGTTTGATAAATTCACCTACGTCCGAGTGTACTCGCGTACCAAGCGTTTCTTCACGTTCTTCACGTTTTATTCGTGTGTCATACGTTTTGGTACGGTACGCTTAAATTGGAAAACAGCCTTAATCTGTATGGATTACAATGGCGAGCTCATTACACATGAATTGAATATATACATTCTCTTCTTTGTTCTTTTATATGAGCTTCTTACGGCTACTGGTGCATGGTAAGCAGCTAGTCGCTTATTTTTATGGAGATTTCCATTTTGATACCACATAAAATATCCAATATTTCTTGTAGTTTTCGCGCATTGCATTGTCTTTTAACTATTAATTGAAAATATTATAAACTTAGCTATACTGTTTGAGCCAGCACTCTTTTGCTCAGTTAGTAATGGATTCACGAAATATATAGAAAAATTCTAGTCACATAACCTCCTCTGCACCCAACTTGAATAACTGAAAACAGCATAATTACGCAAAACCTGGTTAACATTTTATTTTTCTGACGCACATCAATTGTCCCATGTAATCTCCTGTTACTTCCTCTCATCAACTATATAAATATTACGTGTAATGTAATTCTACCGTTTGGCGAACAAGTTACCTGCGGAGGAAGCTAGTAAGCACATACCTATGCATTTATCGTCTTCGACCAAAAATTTATCATTACATATACACTTGTGTTCCCCTTGGTAACCATCTGGATGACATATGCTATTGGGTTTGCGCGTGGCGCAGGTTGAATTTTCGCATGGAGGTATAGCTATAAAAAGGAATAAGCTATTAATTTAATGCAAAATTACACGGCTGGTAAAAGTTATATTGGGTCGAAGTATAAAATTCATGCCAACATTATTCAATTTCTACATTAATTTTGAAAACAAAAATATGTTTTGCATTTACCTTAACGCCTACTATATTTATATACCGTTAAACAGTGCAGCAAATTTAATTAAAATTAATCTAAGTGTTACTGATTTAAAACCGATACGGTTTTTGTTACCAGAAACATGCGGGATTTTAGAATGAAAACGCAAATATTGTTTCGTCGTCGCCTATATTCGGCTCCTCTATCACTCCAGGATCTGTCCTATACATCAGTTTCCCCGTATAATTCTCAGTTTCCACACATATAGTGTAATATTGAATATATTGGTATTGATTTTGTATAATTTGGTTCGGGAATAACACCACTCATTACGATTTGCTATTCCGTGTAACCGTACACGGGGCTACAGGAACGCAAATACACAGGGGGGAGGTGACGCATTTGCAATTGGGAGACCATGCACAAAGGTTTACAAAATAACCATCTGGTAAACAGTTTGTCAACCATCTGGGAACCATCTGGTAACCATTTCATAATCGTCTCGTAAACTGTAACCATCTGGAAAACAGTTTCCGGACAAACAAATAATTATTCTGCTATTATACCATAACTTTTGCATGGTATATAATTTTTAATCTCAAGTCCATTGTATTAATAGCTCACCTTGCTGATCGAACACGCAACCAACATTCATCCTAAAACCTGCTCTCAAAAGGCTTAATTTATCTACTGCCCGTTTAGTAGTTAAAGAGCTGTTAACTCTCAAGTACGAGATATATTGTGATTGGTTCACTTTCGGAGTAACTATGGTTAATTTTAATCAGCTAGCTATTTATATAACCGTTCCCTGCATTTTATCATTTACTTGGCAATAAAGTATTGACCCAAAACAAACCAATGTATAAAGAGCCGAACATAATAGAGAATATTAGAATATCAATTCAGATGCAAAAAACTGAACTTACCCTTAAAATATAATGCAATCACGTCTTTAGATAAACAGTGATGACCATGATATCCATAGATCTGTCGCAAAATTAAAATTCTCACTTCTTAAATCCAATAATTTCACATACAACATTTGGCATGATGTAATATTGAAAAAAAAAAATTAATTGAAATGCCTCAATAAGATCACGTTTCGCTGTAAGAACTTGAACGACCCTTTAATTTTATAGTAAATCAATGTTGTTAACGACTTCATTTGGCTTATAAAATTAGACGTATGAGTTACAATAATGCTAATATCAGAAATATGCACTTATAATATAAGCGGGGTTTCATTGGTTAATACTATAGGGTGCCATAGTAAATGGCGTCATGTGCTCATAGCGTGCTTGGTTTTTCCCTTTTGAATTGAGTTATAAGAACATAGCGGATTCGATTCACAACCTCGAAAAACTGGATAATATGGACGTTGCTACGCATGCCGTAAACTATATCTGCAAAATATCCCGCATGCCGGCCTAAAATAAACTGCATGCTTTTGTTCAAAAAACTTAACCCTCTGCCTACATCCTTTTTTAAGTCTCGTCCATTCCTCTCCGGACATAAAAGAAAAAAATGCATGTGCACTGCATATTATTACTCAATATGCTAGAAATACATTTTCCAAACATTGTTTCAACATGAAGTATTCTTAACGCCAAAACTGAATACTGGCTCGGGCCATGTTAGCTATGACAACCAACATGATCATTTTTTAAAAAAACATTTGTGTACAATACGACAAAAATAAATAAATGTTTTACACTTTTAACAATACAACTACTGATCTCTAAAATATGTAAAGTAGGTAGGATATGTTGTTTTGCATTCTATGCATGGCTTCATTTTTATGCAAAATTCATAGTGAAAAGCTTCGTAAATCGTTTTTAGATGTTCATTGAAATTAACTGCTTTTTTGCCGATAAACTCTTCAAATTATTACTCGTACTTTGAAATGAAATAGATTCATTAAATCATAAAAATCGCTCATGAAAATAATTTACTTTCTTTCTTTTTTTGAGCTTTTATAAGAACATAAAACAACTAGTTAATTCACATACAATGAAAGTTGTTGGACTATTTGTAAAACCATAATAAAAAATAAATAACACTGCATGTTTATAAAACACAGGGGCGTAGGAAGCACCTGGAGTTTGGGGGGGCACCGGCTTGTACGGGCACATTACTATCGGAAAGGGCACCTAAAATATTTTTCGCGGAAATGTTGTCGACGGGGGGGG